TAGTGCGAGAATCTATTGAAGAGTTAAATTGAATTATTGCCATTGCTCCTAATATCAAACCATGACATATTTCAAATGTACTATTGGAAACTTTCACAACAGCTGGTGATGATTGTGTATAGAATATTGTGAGACCTGCTGCAGATACAGCAGGCATAGGATACCTATAAGTTATGGGGCAGTTAATAGGCTTGTACCCTGAGTGAAGTTTAAAAAAAGTAGAATTCCTTATTTACATATAATGTCCATAAGAATCATCAACTGTTGAGTATGCTGTTAAATTTGTATATAATACAAATAATCCACTTCCACTGAAATTGCACTTATGTGCTCTTGTTTGATGGCTAATATTAAGAAAATCGAAAGTTGCATTACAAAGGTTAACTGCTACCAGTCCAAATGCAGTGCAGTTTACTATGGTCACATTAGTCACTTTAACACTAGCAATATTGCTCAATAGCAAAGCAGTAGCATGTTTGTTAGTGAATGAAAGTGGATAATTTGTAGAATAGATGTCACTATCTAGTGTAGTGAGCTAAATACCACAGCTATTAAAACGAAGGTCATTCATTATTAACGTGCCATTTGAACCATAAAATGCAAAGCCACTAGTCCAGACAATGCTTAAACCAGTAGTGTTACAGTAAACTTCAGCTGTAGCATAACTTGGATGACTGGTGATGTTAAGGGATCGACTTATATTAACTCTGCAGGACTTATTTTGAGATATTTCATGAGTTACATCAGTAGAAAGGAGCAGAGTGACATCATCACTGAATGATGCTTCATTGTCACTGCACAAGATACTTTCCAATTGGTGTCTGCCAGTGATGTCATGAGTGATTTTGGCTGAAGATGAATTAAAATGAGAGAACAAAATGAACAGCAGGAGAAGATGTGAATAAATCATTGTATAAAGTATCACCACACTTCTTGTGGATGTACATGCATCTATTTTTATAATCTTTTCATTGCTGAAAATGAAACAAGTAATTAGTGTTAGTTGAAACAACTTTTAATACATGTTTTACAAAGCAGTAGCTATTAGTTATGTATACAAGGATGTCATTATGATGATTCACTGGTTCCAGGAATTGGTGAAAGCATGCCAGACTAATAGGATGTTACATGTCTTACATTAGCACTGTTACCACAACAGGTTCTAAAGTTTGGTACACATTGCTGGAATACTTTAACAATACCTAAAAACTTTCTGTTTGGAAACAAGCATTTCTTGATTTATTATTGTAAGCATGGAAATTATCATGCTTAGAAACTGTAAATGTTTTCAATAATAAATCATTTTACTCCAGACCACAGACATACCATAATAAATAGCTTATGAAGTTATGATACAGCATGAAGAGACCTATAGTATTGCAGTGCACACGTGACAATGACAATGCCAATCCTTCAAAGTAAATAAAAAATTAGTACACAACTTTTAAGTACCAGCAAACAAAAAAATCCATTTTGCAACTTTTTTTCAATCTAAGGTAACTTTCTCACATAAAAGCACTTTTATTAACTCAAAAATAAAACTAAAAAGAAAACATTATTTTTCAATTATACTGTAATTTTAATAATGTTACTCTAAAAGTATTGTACTAAAAATATATATAGTCCTCTGATATTAATATTGAAGGAAATGTTGTAATACTAAACTCTGTTTAATATCCTAAAAACTCTCTGTTTGGAAACAAAATATTTCTTGATTTATTATTGTAAGCAATGAAATTATCATGCTTAGAAACTGTAAATGTTTTTAATGATAAAAGTATCACTTACTCCAGACCACAGATATAATAGATACCATATGATATAGCATGAAGAAACCTAGTATTGGGAATAAGGTAATTAGCAGGATATTGCCTTTAACATTTCAACGAATCTACAATTTAGCTGCTAAATAACACTTTGATGCAGTGTAGTTTAAGTTGATTTTTAAAGACATTTTTTGAGTTGTAATCATTTTTGAAATGTAATTTAATACATTTTCTGATAGACATATTGAGCTATGTAAAAATTTGAGCTAATTTTGACTTTAATTTTTAAATTTACAATCATTTTTAGAAATTGGCATACCCAAAGCTATAGCTAATAGATATATCGCTCATGGTTTTTTTTTCAAAAAAATGACTCCAAAATCACCATACATTCTAATAAATTTTTTGATACATATTGATGTTTTTATGCTGTGTAGAAAGTTTGAGCTAATTCCAACTAAAAGTTTTTGGGTTATGACCATAAAAAGTGGAACTAATACCGACGTACATTTCCTCATACAGTTATTTAACTTTTGCTAACATACCTTTGTCTTTTTTCTCCTTTACAGGTTTCAATGGTTATTAGGTTTGATCATAATAAACTATTTTAAAAATATCCTGTAGACTATTTAGTAAATTTTATTACTATTTTCTACAGAATTTATTCTAGTAAGTTAAATAACTAGTAATAGTAATAGTTCACTTCATAATGATAATACAAAAGTGCTAGCCTTCTAAGGCAGCAATAATTACAAAAATGTTGTAACTATGTATTAACTAGTTACTAACTATCTACTTCTCATCCATTGCTGAATCTAAAGTTAGTGTAGAAGGATAAGTTCTCATGCTACTAATATCTGATACTGTATAATATCCACTGGATACTGTTCTGTGAGACTCAAATGAATATACACTAGCAGCATCTTCCTCTAACTTTATAGATCTATAGTTTTCAACAAAATAAGAGTAGATCATTTTATATAGTTCAAATTTCTTGGGTACTACTAATGCAGTGCGTCCTTCATTAGATCTTATAGTTGGATCAGCTTTAGATTCTAATAACAACTTAACTACTTGATAATGCCCTTTAGCACTGGCAATCATTAAAGCAGTAACTCCATCTTTGTCTTGAACATTAGGATCAACTTGTTCCTTCAGCAACAGTTCAACAATTTGAATGTGACTATTTTGACAAGCCAACATAAAAGCAGTAACTCCATCATTATTTTCAACATTATGATCAACTTGTTCCTTCAGCAACAGTTCAACTATTTGAGTGTGACCATTTTCACAAGCCAACATAAAAGCAGTCACTCCATCTTTGTTTTGAACATTAGGATCAACTTGTTCCTTCAGCAACAGTTCAACTATTTGAGTGTATCCATTTTGACAAGCCAACATAAAAGCATTCACTCCATCATTATTTTGAATATTAGGATCAACTTGTTCCTTCAGCAAAAGTTCAACTATTTGAGTGTATCCATTTTGACAAGCCAACATAAAAGCATTCACTCCATCATTATTTTGAATATTAGGATCAACTTGTTCCTTCAGCAAAAGTTCAACTATTTGAGTGTATCCATTTTGACAAGCCAACATAAAAGCATTCACTCCATCATTATTTTGAATATTAGAATCAACTTGTTCCTTCAGCAACAGTTCAACAACTTGAATGTGACTATTTTGACAAGCCAACATAAAAGCAGTCACTCCATTTTTGTTTTGAACATTAGGGTCAACTTGTTTCTTCAGCAACAGTTCAACTATTTGAGTGTGACCATTTTCACAAGCTAACATAAAAGCATTCACTCCATCATTATTTTGAATATTAGGATCAACTTGTTCCTTCAGCAACAGCTCAACAACTTGAATGTGACTATTTTGACAAGCCAACATAAAAGCAGTCACTCCATTTTTGTTTTGAACATTAGGATCAACTTTTTCCTTCAGTAACAGTTGAACCACTTGAGTGTGACCATTTTGACAAGCCAACAAAAATGCAGTTTCTTGATCTATTTTTTTAAAATTTGGATTAACTTGTAGCAACAGTTTCACTATTTGAGGATTAACTTGTTCCT